TAAAACGATTAGGTACATATTATGTTAGTAACATCAGTTATTAGGAATTGGCACAAGCGTTTTAGTTTTTTAAATTGTTTTCCTCTTCACAGTTTGTGAGTATATAGAAAAAAAGAATCCATTTTGTATTGAATAAAAGTAATAATAAAATGATTTACAAATAGAATTTGCACATATATATATATATATATATATATATATATATATATATATATATATATATATATATATATATATAAGGTTTCCCTCTGAGAATTACACATATTGGTAGACTATTTCTTTCATGTGCATTCAAATGACAAAGCTATGTTTTGAATTCGTTGCTGCCACTGCAATACACATGCACATAATTGAGGAAAAAATAATGAGAAAAACTTTTAATTGAATTAGCTTTCTCAGTTTTTATTCGACAAACTATGGAACAAAGTTGGTACTTCTTAACTAGCTTCCTTCCAGCTGTATGATGATTTAGTTAACAAAAAATCTTTAACAAAAGAAAGTTAACATTTCTCTTTAAACTCACTAAGATACTTCAATCTAATTCTAATTCATTCTAAGGAGATCGCGGGACGAACATTTTGTATCAATGATGTGAATATATTTATATATAATTTATGTTAAATATTTTGACTATATTAATTATATATTAGACGTATTCAGCCTTGTATTGTTTTATATTTAAATGGATAGCCTTTTGTTGGTCAGCTGACAATTCTTATACGAAATTATTTATATTCTAAAGTTAGACTTTTCAAAATAAACCAAATTAACCCAAAGTTTAAGTTTGACTATATCGTCAAATGGATTATTCCATGGATATTTATATTTAACAAATATATATAATAGAATTGAAATCGTAACGTATTTAAAGAATGCTTGTCAGGGTGCTCTCGGTAGCGGATAAGTGGATATCGTGCTGCATTCAACTCAAGCACCTCATGACATGACAGACTAATTACGACAGATTAATTATAATTGAGATTATGACAGATTAATTATAATTAATTATTCCGTTTGTTGACACTGGCCATCCTCCATCCATTTCCATATATTTTTATTGCTAATATTTACATGATATGGGGAAGAGCTATTCGTTTTTAGTTGTTATGAAACACTCGCGGCTCTTCATCGCTTCGCTCGGGTTCGGCTGTAGTAAAACAAAAACTAATTTATCCCACAGGAACCGTATATTTTTCTGGGATAAAATTAGTCTATGTATTATTCTGATGTATGAGCTATATTATTGTATAGTTTCAATAAAATCCATACAGTAGTTTTTTCGTGAAAGAGTAACAGACATCCGTACATCCTTAAAAACTTTTACATTTATAATATTAGTAGGATATTGAATATATTTGTTACATTTATATTTATTTGGTCAATATGATTTAAATTAGAGACATATTTTACTTACTGGTATTCAGCTAATTTTAACGTCCCACTGCTGGGCACTCATCTTGTTAATACGAGGGGTAACAGGCCATAGTCCACTACGCTGGCCAATTACTTCAATTATGTCTTTCGAAAACTTGCTAGGTTCTCTCCGACATGCAGGTTTCCTCACGATGTTTTCCTTCACCGTAAGGCGAGTGGTAATCATGTTAGAAATGATTTGCTTACTTAGCCTGTTGTTATCTAAATAATAAAATATATAAATAATAATAAAATTGAACTATCGTTTTCACATGTATTATAACTTACGCTTAGAATATTTTTTTAAGCATAAAATACAACTCGGAAGAGTTCCTATTAAACTAATTGTTAAATAAAAAAATGTTGACATTATTTCGTGGTTCCAATGTAAATAAAATATATCAAATACTTATAGCAAATTACCAAAATTACTAGGCATATTTTTACGAAATACTTTCTTAGATTTACGCGAATATTTGATATTTTAAATAAAACTACCTATCTTTTCGGATTATTTCGCGGATTTATTTTGATTTTTGATTCTCGACGTTTCGAAAGCTTATATTTAATACCTTTAAATGAGCAATTCTTGTATATTTATTTATTTATACCGGCGATCTCGGAAACGGCTCTAACGATTTCGCAGAAATTTGGTATGTCGAGGTTTTCGGGGGCGAAAAATCGATCTAGATTAGTCTTGTCTGGGAAAACGCGTGTTTTCGAGTATTCATGCGGTTTCCTTTCGCATTATTCCACGCAAAATATTGTCGCTAATTTCGTAAACTCGGGTATAAGTGGCCAACCTGCAAGATTGACAATCTCAGGTGTCCCCGGGTTCGTATCCCGGTCGGCTACAAAGTTTTTTTTGTTTTTTTTTTTTTGTATTTATTCAAGTTTTTAGATTTTTTGTTTTTAAGCTAAATTAAAAAGAAAATTGTGCTCTTGGCCAAAAACTCCGAGTGAAGCTCGGTCGCCCAGGTACTAAAAATTATATAAAGAATACGACCTTCAAATTTCACGTTTCTATAATCAGCGGTTTAGGCTGTGCGTTGATCTATCAATCAATTAAATAAATACGTAGTTAATAATAACAGTCAGACCAAATATATATATATACTATAACAAAACTGTATAGGCCGAATGTACATAGAAAAAAATGCTAAAAACCGAGTCAGAGGGAATGTAAGAAGACAAATAGAACATATTCAGATTTTTTTCAATTTTCTTATTTCTCTATCTGGTTGTCTGTTTGTACGGTCTAATCTCCGAATCTATTGGACCGAATTAAATGGAATTTTGTATGGTGGTACCTTATATCCCCGGGCAACATCTTAGATACTTTTCATCCCGGAAAATTAAAGAGTTCCCGTGAGATAGTTAAAAAACTATAATAACTTATACAGCTTAGTACACAAAAACTACAGAGTGCATTTTGATGAAACTTTACAAATAATATACATCAGAATCAATCAAATAGGTTACTTTTTGTCCCGGAAAAATGAACGGATCCCGTGGGATAGATCTGTTCGTACTTCTCTAGAGGCGAACCCGAGCGAAGCGAGCGTGAGCCGCTAGTATATTATTATCTTGATATCATTTTTCAAGGAAAATTACCATCAAAGCTTTGTGGAAAATAAGATGTATTTTCTTTAAATTTGGAGCAGGATAGGCTGTGTAGTAGGATAAAGTTGTCAAGAGGGATTTAAGGGATTCATCATAATTACATTTGGCTTCTGATTCCTTTCCACACGTTATTTTCTCATAAAGTAGAAAATTCTTTTATTTCATTCGAGGTAAAAGTACAATTCCGTTTATTTTATTGATGGTATCGTTTAGGTAATGCCTTTATTTTATTCTCACTGTATTTGATCTATTGAGGTATAAGTAGTACTTATAACTCAATACTTACATATTACTTATTACGTACATACAGTACAGTACTTATAAAGTTTAGATGGTTTTATCGTACAAAATCATTTATCTGCATGCTTATATCTCAGCACCGTTTCAATTTCAGGGTGTTATAATTTTCTACCTTTATATCAAGGGTGCCTAGGCAACCGTGCTTCGCTCAGCATTGTGAAAAATTACGTTTTTTCAAAAAAGATGCCTATATATGTATGTAGATAAACTTTAAAAGCAAAACTTTTAACATTGAAAATTATTTTTTTGTCGCTTCGGTATAACCCGATTTTCAGCGAAAGTGCGACATGGCCCTGGTATCGTGGATTTTGAGACTACGTGGCTGATTGAATGTGAAAACACGCGTCTCGACGAGGGTTACAAAATGCAAAACAATATTTTGAAAAAAATCTAAAACTTTTTATAAAATCCAAAAAATGTGAAAAATGGGGTCGTTCGGTTTCGGTCATAAAAAAATCATATTTCAAAAACGAAATGAGACGTCGAAAAAATTCAAAAATCCCTAGATATATATGATTTTGGGCTATATTTAAAAAAATATTGGAGGTGTGTATCACTGATGGGTTATTCAGAAGTTGTACCTTTGTGACGCGGAGTTTACGCGCGGAGAGCGCATGAGCGCAGTAGTGTCGGTGAATAAATTTTTTGGAGCAGTTGACCGATTTATCCTTATTTTTTTTTAAGTTTTTATAGGACGAAGGCGTTTTTTGTAAATAAATAAATATGTATTTAAGCTAAAAGTTCTAAAAATAATGTTTCTTCAATGCATGTAAACAATTGTATTTCACCTCGTAAAAGACTAATAGTTTTAGTTAGATTAATAATTCTATTCTATCGTATCCTACCTACTACCTAGTGTTAGAATCATATCATAATTTACACAAGATTATTGTTTAGTTATTCCATATGTATGATGTTTTAAAATATTCGTCAATTATAAATTCATTATTGTTTAAATTTATTATTATTTTAATTTAATGAGATTACACATAGAAACTTAGAATAATTTAATTAATATTTTCAAATATTGTACTAACGCGCGCACTACTTCCGGCTGACAACTTCCTTTATTTGTTTGTTCCGGTAAAAAGGGTTGGAGGGAGGTAGCGCGCGCGCAGTGGACAGTTGATTGTCGACTGTTGAGTTGAATAGACTAGATTTGTGAAATTTCATCAATATGTAAGTATAATAAATTGATTTAATTGTGGAAAAGTGTTTTAATTACTTGAGCTCTCAAAGCTCAGAAGTGGGATATAATCGTGATAGCGATTAATATCGTCCACGGTGAAAGGACTTGCCGCCCATGCAACTGTACCGATAATTTCTTTTGTTTTTTTTTTAGTGCAATCAGTTTAGAAGGAACTTAATTATTTTAAATATTGTATTGTAACAACTACTGGTGGTCCCAATATTAAAAAAAATATATTCTGACTAAGTTACATAAGTTTTATATATGAGTGTGTGTGTGTGTGTTTTTTTTTTGTTTTCTGTTTTCCTTAACGTCATTAGTGCCATATCCCTAGTTTATTTTGTCTGCTGCATTATGAACCTATATTATACATCATGAACTAAGATAATGCTCTAAAGGAATCAACCTTACCTAACCCTTTATAATAAGTCTAAGAATAGCTGCTTTTGTGATTTCTTATAATTTTCAGTAAACAATGGGCCGGAAAAGAAAGTCCACTCGACGTATGAGGGAGTCTGATGATTCAGAGCATAGTGAATCAGGTTCACTAGTGCGAAGAAGGCATAAGTCGCGACGACGCTATAACAAGTCGCAAACTCGTGATTCATCGAGTGGCTCTGATGTACCGCGACACTGTAGAGTATCAAAGAAGCGCCGTAAATCCAGGAGGTGTTCTGAAACGCCTCAAAGGCGTACTGTACCGCGGGGTCATAATGGTACCCCGGATCCTGGCACAACTCAAAGGCGTAATGTATCACGGGGCCATGATGTTACTCGAGATCCTGGCACGCCTCCAAGGCGTGATGTATTGCGAAACCATGAAGAGTATCAAAATCCTGAGGAGCTGCAAAGTACACACCTTCTTCAAAATGAATATGCAGCGGGGACGTCACAGCCTGCTACTATACCAGCAGTAACACCAAACGTGAGTGCACCTCAAATTAATGTTAGTACTGACTTTAATGCTAACGTTTTAGCCTTGGCCTTCAAGGAGCTTATTCAGACCATGAAAACAGATGGGGGTAATGAACGTTATCCGGTTATGAATGTTATTCCAGAGTTTGACCCTTCCAAGCGCAATCAAACTATTGAAACTTGGTTATTAAAGGTTAATGAGTGTGCCGAAATTTACAATTGGACTGAGAGACAAATAATTCATTACGCTCTCCCAAAATTATCAGGTTTGGCACAAAAATGGTACCAAGGTCTACCTAGTTTACTGTTTTCATGGACGGAATGGCAGAATAAGTTGAAAATGGCGTTTCCAAGTGATGAAAATTATGGACAATTGCTAACAGATATGCTTGCCTGCAGGGCTAGATTTGGCGACTCGTTAGAAGAATATTTTTATCAAAAGATGGTATTGTTAAATCGTTGTAATATAGTTGGTAAAAATGCTATAGATTGCATTCTGTTTGGAATAGATGATAGATCAGTAAGAACTAGTGCAGAAGCAACACAATTCACAGAACCTGATAAACTATTAGTCTATTTAAGGAATGTACGATTAACTAGGAAGCCTGAGAAGCCAAGTCCATCCATGCAAGCAGGTAATAATGAGAATAAACAATCCCGATCGTTCAAGTCTAATCAGAATACGTCTGACGTTAAAAATAACAGATCTTATAGGCTCACTAAATGTTATAATTGTAAGGAAGAAGGACATCCATATTTTCTTTGTAAGAAACCAATCATACGCTGCGAGAGTTGCCATAGAATTGGTCATGTATCTAATAATTGTCCGGGAAAAACTGACTCCAAAGCCAACGAAAGCAATAGTAAAAACAGTTTTACGTATTTCGAAACAACAAGATAACGAATCGAAATATTTCAAAGTTGCCAAAGTTAATGGTCAAAATCTTGATTGCTACGTTGATTTTGGAAGCCAATGTACCATGTTAAGAGAATCTTTTGCAAGAAATTTTGTCAGTACTTGGTCAGTATCAGAATTACCAGTTATAAGAGGATTTGGAGATAGTATAGTGAATTGTTTAGGCAAATTTGTTGTTGAACTAGAGATAGATTCGGTCAAAGCTTCCGTAGAGGTACTTATCGTACCAGACCATCTATTACAAGTACCTTTGTTAGTTGGGCAAACATTTACGGAGCAGGAACACATAGTTGTTTATAAAAACAAAAATCAATTGAAAATATCCACTTACCCAACAACCAGTGTTCAATTGTATGTTAAAAATTCAGTAACGGTAAAAGGATTTACTGTCTTAGATGTTTATTCTAAACCAGATTACACAGGTGACTTATTTATTGAACCGAGTCTTTGCCAAGACCCCCAAAACCCGTACGAAATCTCACAGAGCATAATTCGCGTAACTAATAGTCATGGTAATATTGTTATAAAGGGACTTGACCCTGAGTTTGTTTTAACGAAAGATATGTTGTTGCTTCGAGCATTGCCTTTAACTGAATTGAAATTTGAGTCGCTAAATGTTAGTAAAATTGAACACTGCCCTGATAATAATAATATATTCAGAATCGAAGCAGAGGCTATACAAGTGGATAATTCAATTGGTCCTGATAACGTATTTAAATTGACTGAGTTATTGAACAATTTTAGGGATTGTTTTGCTTTCTCAAGTAAAGAATTAGGATGCATAACTGGTACCGAGATGAATATTAAACTTAATGACACCACACCTGTGGTTTATAGACCGTATCGATTGTCTCATTTAGAGCGTCACGTAGTTCGCGATATTATACAAGATTTAGAAAATTCGAATATAATTAGAGAATCATCTTCTGATTATGCTTCACCAATAGTTCTCGTACGTAAAAAGACTGGCGACTATCGCCTTTGTATTGACTTTAGAGCACTTAATAAAAAGACGATCAAAGAACACTACCCCCTACCACTTATAGAAGACCAATTAGATAGTCTCTCAGGTTATAGATATTATACTTCTTTGGATCTTGCTTCTGGATATTACCAGATCCCATTGGCTGAAACATCGAAACGTTATACAGCATTCGTAACGCCTGATGGGCATTATGAGTTCAACCGCATGCCGTTTGGACTCGTAAATGCTCCGTCCACATTTCAAAGGACTATTAATAGTATTTTGGGGAATGCAAGATTCAAAGAAGCATTTGCATACATGGATGATGTCATTGTACCTTCTAAAACTATAGACGAGGGATTACAGAAACTTCATGATATTTTAAATTTGTTTCGCTCTTCCGGTATAACTCTCAATCTGTCAAAATGTAATTTCTTGAAACAATCTATAGATTACTTAGGCTTTGAAGTCACTGAATCAGGTATTAAACCGGGAAAGAAAAAAATTGAAGCAGTGGATAAATTTCCTAGACCTACAGATCAACACAAAGTCAGACAGTTTTTGGTTCTAGCTAGTTTTTTCCGAAGATTTATTAAAGGGTTCTCAATTATTGCAAAACCATTGACGCAACTTCTTAAGAAAGATGCTAAATGGAAATGGGGTGACGTAGAAGAATTAGCATTTTTAACATTGAAAGACGAATTAGTCAAACGCCCTATTCTTTCTTTTTATAATCCTGAGTACGAAACCCAATTACATACAGACGCTTCTAAGATTGGAGTTGCCGGAATAATAATGCAAAGACCTAATAAAGAATCCCCATTCAGCGCTGTAGCATTTTATAGTAGACAAACTTCCCCCGAAGAATCCAAACTTACCTCCTATGATTTGGAAACGTTGGCTGTCGTGAACTCGCTACAGCGGTTCAGAGTATATCTTTTGGGAATTCCTTTTACCATAGTTACAGACTGCAACTCTCTTCGTGCAACTTTTGAGAAAAGAGACACAATACCTAGAGTTGCGCGATGGTGGAATGTTATCCAGGAATTTGATTTTAATATTATTTATAAGCCTGGCACAGCTATGACACACGTAGATGCCCTTAGTCGTAATCCCATCTCTTCACATTCAGTAGAATTACATGTAGGACATGTTGACACTGATTGGGTAGCTACGGTACAACAAAACGATCCCGAATTACAACGAATAATTTCAATCTTAAAGGATACTGAAAACGATAATGTTATAGAGATCAAAAATAATTTTATAATAAAAAGAGGATTATTATATAGGAAAACTGAAGACGGGGATCGTTGGGTTGTCCCGAAAGGAGTCCGATGGCAGGTATTGAAATCAAACCATGACGAGATCGGACACTTTGGTTTTGATAAGACTTTAGAGATAATTAAAAATAAGTACTGGTTTCCTAAAATGAGAAGATTTATAAAAAAGTATGTACAATCGTGTCTAGAGTGTGCTCATGCTAAAGTACCATCTGGGAAAAGAGCAGGAAAATTGCATCCTATCGAAAAAGTAGATAAACCTTTTCACACTCTACACATAGATCATCTAGGTCCTTTTGTCCGTAGCAAGCGCAGAAATGCTTATTTATTGTTAATTATAGATGCATTTACGAAATTTGTCATACTTGTGCCAGTTAAAAGTACTAAATCTATTCATTCCATCGCCGCAATGAAAAACTATTTTCACACCTTCAGTGTACCGAAAAGATTAATCTCTGATCGCGGAACGTCATTTACGTCTAAGAACTTCCAAGATTATCTAAATTCATTAGGTATAAAGCATATCATGAACGCTGTAGCGACGCCGCGGGCCAACGGCCAAGTCGAGCGGTATAATCGAACAGTTTTAGCAGCACTTACAGCTACAAATCATAGCAAGCCCGATAACTTGTGGGACGAATGTGTATCTGAAATTCAATGGGGACTGAATAATACTCAGAATAAGGGTACGGGAAAGAGCCCCGCACAGGCATTATTTGGTCTGGACTTGGTAGGTACGTCAGGCTCTTTATTGCAACTTAGTGTTACAGATAGTGCTGATAATGTTGATACTCCTATAGAAGACATAAGGAGAGAGATGACAGAGCAAATAAGAGACAATCAAGATAAACAAAAGCAACGGTTTGACAAAATTAGGAAGGAAGTTACATATAATGTAGGTGACCTAGTCAGAATAGAAAGAGAAATTTCATCAACCGGTAACAGTAGAAAATTAATCCCAAAACTTAGAGGTCCGTATCGTATAAAAGAAGTTTTAGATAATGATCGTTATGTTGTTGAAGATACGCCATTATCCAGGAAGGGTAACAGAAATTTTAGTAGCATTTTCTCTGTAGACAAAATTCACCCTTGGATGGTTTTTAATAGAGCAGACACAGAGTCTGAAACTTCAAATAATGATGATGCTGACGAGTTAGAAGTAAGATAAGATGTTAAGGATATGTCTGAGGCCTTAATATTTTAATTAACGTTGTCGAGTATTATAAGTGGCCTGACTGGGAATATGTCTGAGGTCTCAGTTAGGACAGATATTATGGACATGTATGGGGCCTTAATATCTTAGCGTTAGAGTTAACTAACAAGTGGCTTGACTGAGAATAAGTCTGAGGTCTCAGTTAGGACAGATATTGAGGATATGTATGAGGCCTTAATATCTTATCATTGAAATGATTATTCTAGTGAACATCTATCAGTTAAGATTTGTTCGTCATCAATATGATTGGTTATGAATATGATTTTTGTTATATTTTATAAATGTTATAATCTATCACAAATACCGAACCAAATTGTTTTTTTCCCGGGACGGGAAATTTATCAGGAAAGGCCGACTGTTAGAATCATATCATAATTTACACAAGATTATTGTTTAGTTATTCCATATGTATGATGTTTTAAAATATTCGTCAATTATAAATTCATTATTGTTTAAATTTATTATTATTTTAATTTAATGAGATTACACATAGAAACTTAGAATAATTTAATTAATATTTTCAAATATTGTACTAACGCGCGCACTACTTCCGGCTGACAACTTCCTTTATTTGTTTGTTCCGGTAAAAAGGGTTGGAGGGAGGTAGCGCGCGCGCAGTGGACAGTTGATTGTCGACTGTTGAGTTGAATAGACTAGATTTGTGAAATTTCATCAATATGTAAGTATAATAAATTGATTTAATTGTGGAAAAGTGTTTTAATTACTTGAGCTCTCAAACTAGTTTGTAATTTATTTGATAAATAAATATAATTAATACGTTATTTAATAATATAAATATGTAAAGAATGCAAATATACCTTGATGTAGCCATTGTAACGGAAATTTGCTTAGTAGTTCCATTTAAACTACCAGAATTAAAAAAAAAACTAATTTTATAGTATTTTTATTTATTTGCCTCCTGTGTTTTTCAATAATTTTTCTTTCACTTAAACTTAGTCTTTAAACTGCTTACGTGACAAACTTTTCTTGCTATGAGGGAATCGGGGCGCTTAAACTTTTATCGCTTTGCAAGAGCTCGTATAAGAAACGTATCAGCAGTTTTACGACAAAGAAGATTAAAAAAGGTATCTCAGTAATGAAAGGAACGATGTTCTATTTGTTCGACCGGAGCGCAAAAAGGAATGCCCGTGTTGTGTGGGCGGTGCTTGCGGTAAATTAATATAATACTTAACTTTAATAAAATGCACGTGGTGTTTATAAAAAAACACAGTAATTTGCGAAAAACTAATTTCATTTAAAATCCTATAATTATAACTGTTGTCAAGCTTTTGCGAAAATGCGTTTAATATTACGAAATATTTTAGCTTGTGATTCGACACGTTGTTTAGAATTTACGAGCTCTAGAAATCTGGTACCGATGCCAAAATGGCTATTTTACAATTTCCATCCATTTTATCAGTGAATACGAGTAGCATTAAATCTTGTAAGTTAATAAATGTTACTGATGAAACATTTGGATACTATATATATGGACTAATTAATTTCTTATCATAAATCAAAGATAAAACATCCAACTACATATATCGACTGGTGAAATATTGAATTTTTTTTTAAATTGGTCTAGTGCGTAACTGAGGTTCCGCCTATCGAGGAAAAAAATATTATAAGGTTTTATTTTATGTACGGAACCTTTAAAACAGGTTTATTCACCGTGAGAGAAAATTTGAGTTATTTATAAGCAACCCTTTCAAGAACTCGACTTTATACATATTTAAGCACTGAAAACATTACACGCGCTAACAGATCTAAAGTGTGGAAAGGATTCGTTAAAAAACACAAAGTAATGTCAATAAAAATAGGAAATATAATACATTCTTGGACTTCATCAATCCATTCTTAGAGCATAATTACTGCAGGGTAAGAAAAGGGGCTTCGAAAATATGATTTACTAGCGAATCATCCTCGCTTCGCTTCAGGTTCGTCCCTAGACAAAAACAAATCGTGGGATACCACGGGAACCGTAGATTTTTTGGGGATAAAAAGTAACTTATGTGCTATTCCAGATTATAATCTATCTCTGTGCCAAACTTCATCAAGATCTGTTAAGCCGTTCTGGCCTGATTGAGAAACAAACATCCATCCAAACTTCCGCATTTATACTCGTAATATTAATATGGGTTTAATCATAAATTCCATTTCAATTAACCTCGTAGGTTAAGACTTCAAGTTTGTTGGTTGGGTCCATGAGTCTATTTTAACGTCAGTACTGAATTGAGATCGGCAATCAACACTAGACAGAATAGGATATGTGGGGAATGGGGATAGCCAGCCACCCTCACAGACCGCACGTCGTCCCTGTATGAGTCGATTATATCGACATGTGCCTGTCAGGCTTAGCCAATTTGGAACGGAAGACCTTATAAGATTTACTTTTATACTGCCTTTTTGTATTTATAATATTAATTACAGGGATTGCCAAATTTTTGCATATTTTATTAGTACCAGTAGCCCATGTTTTACTCTAGATCCCAGTCTTATCTATGTGCTTAATTATTTGTTACATACTTTAATTTTAATAAGATAACATGCATTATATCTACTTTAAGAATCTGTAAATTGTAAAGACTTAATTGGTGTATTTAAAGTTTTTCTTTTTTTTCTTTTATATGCAACTAAATACTGTTTGTCAGCCAAATATAATAAAATTGTAACTAAGCCGAATCTGTACATTAAATATATTTTGGAAAATCTTATTGTCGAAAACATTATTATCGATACAGAGGCCGAATCTATAGTTTTTAGAATTTTTGTCTGTCTGTCTGTTACCGCATCACGGAAAAACCACTGGAGGGATTTTGATGAAATTTGGTATGGTGATAGCTGGTTAACCGGGTCAACATATAGGATACTTTTTACCGCGGGAAAATATCTCATTTCTGAGAAAAAATACAAAAACTGCAATATGAGAGTATACTATGTAAAACCTAAGTATTTTGTTTTTGGTCATCTGAACGCGGGCGGAGCCGCGGGCAAGGCTAGTAAATAAAATAAATTAAAATCTAGCCTTTTTAGCGTGAAGAAGTAACAATAACACACAAGGAAACTTTCGTATTTAATCGATAAAAATATATCGATAAAGTAAAATAAATCTGAGTATTTCAGTTGTATTTCAACGTATTACATTTTTTTCTTGTTTGCATTATAAAACTTTAAAAAATTGCTAAAGTACCTACCGTAAAAGTCATCATAATAGCAACAAAAAATTTTTTTATGGATGGTTTTGGTTAATATTGATCCTAAGTATTGTGTTTATTTCTAATATATCTGTCTTTTTCTAACTTACACTCTATTACATAATGAAGATAAATGTAATTAGTTAACAACGTGAACAGACAAGTAGACAAGAATATTAGTGATAGGTCCACAAAATTGTGATAAATTGTTAATTGATAAGAAAAGGGATTGTGAGATTTAAGAAAACAGCCGGTACTAAATGTTTATAAAGAGCTTTCAGCTTATTAATCTACGTTAAAATATAATAGCTGGTTTTCACAAATATTTTACAAAATATTATCAAAGATCAATAATAAATAAATAAATAAATAAAGCCTTTATTGCTGTTTTCAATTGTTACAATATAATACATGTTTATTTCATTTGTTACCGACAATCGGTTTTTTCCACAACAGCTTGTCGTTCGACAAAGGCCTCCTCCAAAGAATTCCATTTATCTCTGTCTCTTGCAATTCTGATCCATTCTGGACCGGCAACTCTTTTGAAGTCATCTTCCCAGCGTTTCATTTGTCGACCTTTACTTCTTTTGCCATCTCTGGGGTACCACTCTGATATTCTTCTAGTCCATTTCTCATTTTTCTCTCTTATCATATGTCCTGCCCATTTCCATTTAAGTGTTTTGCATACTTTATTTACATCTTTAAATTTAGTTATATTTTTAATTTTGTTTAATCTTATTTTATCTTTCCTTCTTACTCCTATTACACTTCTCTCTATTCCATTTTGACATACGATTATTTTGTTAGTTAGTTTCTCTGTTAATGACCATGTTTGACAGCCATATGTTAAACATGGCAAAATGCACATGTTATATACTTTCCTTTTATCTTTAATTGGCATGTCTTTGTTTTTCATAATTTCACTAAGAGACCAAAATCTTTTCCATGTGTTGGCTATTCTGTCAATTTCTTTATGCATAATATCCCGTGTAGCTATTAGCTGCCCTAGGTATATGTACTCATCTACGTATTCTATTTTCTGCATGTTCACAATGATGTTGTATGTTTGTGAGGCATTAGTCATAATTTTTGTTTTTGTTGTGTTCATTGAGAGCCCTGCTTTTATGCTTTGATCTGATAGTTGTTGTAGCATTTGTTCTAGTTTTTTTGGACATTCTGAGAACAGAATTAGATCATCTGCGAAACGTAAGTGGTTCAGGTTTTCACCGTTTATGTTAAGTCCGTTTTTATTCCAATCGAGGTTTTTGAATATCATCTCCAAGGCAGCCGAGAACAGCTTGGGTGAAATTGGGTCGCCCTGTCGGATACCTCTTTCTATAGGAAACTCCTCTCCTGTTGCTTCCAGCCTGATTTGGGCTGTGCTTTTTGAGTATATACTCTTAAGTATTCTTATGTACTTTTCCTGTATGCCTTGAGAACGCAATGCTTCCCAGATGTATTGATGTTCTAAAGAATCAAAGGCCTTGTTGTAATCTACAAATCCTAAATAGTAAGTTTTATTATATTCTTTGTATTTCTGTAGGACTTGTCTTAAAACATGTATATGATCTACTGTTGAGTATTTACTACGGAACCCCGCTTGTTCTTTCGGTTGGTTGTCATCGAGTGTAGATGTGATTCTGGACAAAATTATTTTAGAAAAGACTTTGTAGATATTCGACATCAGGCTGATTGGTCGAAAGATCAATATCAATAACCTAAATTTCATAAAATTGCCTTATTTTAAAACAATTCTTC